CCACCACCACCACCACCAACGATCCACGACCTCTTCTTCTAGCCTCCACGACCGCTTTAACGACACGATTTTACGATCACGAACGCCTGCGTCCTGCCTCTCAATTGCTCAATTGAGCCATCCTCGCCTACTCGATTGATCACACAGCATCTGCTATCTGATTAGCTGCAGCATTAGCTTGCATGTGGCCCAGTTATCAAGCTGCATCCAATCGCTCTATACATCGCGAGCATCTCGATTATTATATCGATTGCCCTCGATTTCTTGCAGGATACCCAGCATACCTAGAGTCTACTTAGGTATTGTCATATATCTCGTGTGCTGCACGTTCAATATGGAGACTTCTTCACCTCTAGCAGCGATGCACCCGCCGGCCGGGCCCTTTGGCCAGCCTGACCGGTTTAGGTCACATCCTCACACTCTTTTCCACTCTCTTAACCAACCCCGGGGGTCTGGCACCCTCGATTTCGCCGAGCAATTCCAGAGGTCCAGACCCGACTACTTCAATGTCAAGTCCGTCCGTGGCTCATCCCCCGCCGCAAGCCTGGCAGCCGACCTTTGCCAGAACTTCCACATTGACAACGATGCGAGGTTGGCTGCACCTGCTTCCATGTACTGCAAATGCGGACAGATTTGGCTGATGTTTCATAGTCCTCACTTCCCGACTCCTCGCCGAGCTCTCTTCACGACATCGACGATAATGAACGGAATGGAGGCACGGGGTAAGGCTCACAATGAGAGAATCGGTCAGGAAATTGAGAATTGACCGTGTGTATTAGAATACGTGACCACTCCGCCGCTACCTCCCTCGTCCTCACCTGGCTACATGGATATGGACATCTCGCCGTTGCCGAACAAGGCACCCGCTGTGGCGCAGATCGAGGTTCATTCTCCGACTCCGGTTCCGACGCCCGACGAGGACGATGAGATGGACTTGGAGTCTCCCGTTCCGGCGCCTCGGCATGCGTTTTTGGAACCGCCGAAACCCATAGCTGCCGAGTACGTTTAAATTGCACATTCCGAACATTGTCTCTGAAATGTCTAACCTTTTCCCCACAGTCGCCGTAAAATGGGTCTCCGTCGCCCATCGCTCACGCGAACAAAGGGCTATTCCACCGGGACTGTACCGTACCGGTCGAATCCTGAACAGCTACCCTTGTTCAAGTTCGGTGGTGAGAGTCGGCTTGGCAGTTCTTCACTCTCTCTAAGTGAATGTTTTGGCGAGTCTCCTCCGCAAGAACGTCGGCCTCAGACTTCTCACAGTCCATCTGCCAATGTTCCTGGTGCTCTGCGTTCTAAGGCTCATTTCGCAAGTCTCAGTGGTGCCAGCGCCATGCGTACCGGATCCCCCATCACAACTGCCCATGCACGGCGCCCGTCAAACCCCTTCAATCGTCCGCGCAGACAGTTCAGACGCTCTCTAAGCATGTTCGAAAACCCTGCCGACATGGTCAAGCCCAAGGAGCCTTCTCCTCCTCCAAGCCTACAGGCCGTTGTGGATGTTGAGGAACCTGCTGAGCCAATCCTTCCCCATTTCTTCCCTGAAGGTCAGAATGACAGCATACCTCGGATCACCAGAACAACTTTCCTGGAAATTCTTGACGGAAGGTTCAACGAGAACTATGACCAGAAGATAGTGATCGATTGTCGATTCGAGTATGAATATGAGGGCGGACACATTGACGGCGCGATCAACTACAATGACAAGGATCTCCTCTCAAGTCATCTCTTTGAGACCCCAATGGAAGGAAGAACTCTACTGATCCTTCACTGCGAGTATTCTGCACACCGAGCGCCTCTCATGGCACGTCACGTCCGCGCACAAGACCGTGCTGTCAATGCTGAGTTCTACCCCAAGCTCACCTATCCCGAGGTGTACATCTTGGACGGTGGATATAGTGGCTTCTTCTCCGAGCATCGCGAACGATGCTACCCCCAGGCGTACGTCGAGATGGATGCTGCTGAGCATGCCTTCACATGTGAGCGTGAGATGGGCAAGCTTCGCCAGAACCGCAAGGGCCTTAGTCGGGCTGCAACCTTTGCATTTGGCCAGCAAGACCGTCAAATTTGTGATTCTCCCACCGGCCCGAGTCGCTCCAACACCTGCGATTCAAGCTCTCCCATGGCGATTGGCGCGTCTCCTTGTGCCATCATGGACAGAGGTCATGCTAGGCGTATGGCGTCTTACTAAGTGGTCCTATCAGGACTCATTTGGTTTTGTTGTCTCGTCTTATTTCCTGGATATTGCCGCATATTAAATATCCTATCGACAGAAGGGTTTTTTACCTTGCGTCGTGGTACAACGAGGCCATTCATAACTGCCCTACTATGGGTCCTTGTTCTTGAATGGTCTTATTTACCTCTTCAAGTTTAACTGCGCGCCTTCGAGCCCAAAGTTGGCTATCGGTTCTCATACTTACACGGACATTTTGTTCTTGTGGGAATGAGTCTCTCTAACACTAACGCCTTTGCGCGCGTTGTCATATCCCTTGAGTTATACCCTTGACACCTCGTCAAGACTGCTCCCAACTCGACAGATACCCCCAATGCATGCGACCTTTGATATCCGGTACCTGCTTAAGAGCTTCGCCTTTCTTGCATTCCTCATTAGACGCATTTGCATAGCATCGCATCACATTTTTGCATTGTTCTGCAGCTCTTTTTGGATCCGGCGTCCGAGTGGCTTTGCATTTGGTCGTTCTTCTACTCATCAAACCTTCTTTTTTATTTGTGATTATAACCAAGCATCGTCTTCGTTTCGATGCGTCTAACATCGTACATACCACCGACGACTCGAATCGGCCTCCTACGCCGTTTCATACACCACACATGGAACATTGCACTCTAGCTGTTCCGTCGCTGCCGCTACAGTCATAGTCTTGAACTCCGTCATATTCCTTTGCTGTTTTCCCAGGCGCTGTTCTTTTGGCTCCGTGAACAGCACTAAGTATAGACATCGCTCAAGGCTTAATGCTGCGCAGTCGATACTGCTCAGACTATCGTGGCATCTGAGAAGGCCCCCCCTGCTGTGGGAATAGCGACTCGATCCTTATCTTACCTAACACAGCCCAAACCTACCAACGGGGCTTTGTCGGATTACAACCTGTCATTAATTATGTTTTTGACTTGATCACCGACGTTTACTACAACAACTGCATGAACTACCTCTTCGGTTCGTCCTCTACCGAAGCTACATTTTCTTTTCTCGTCGAATACCACAACAACAGTACAAAGGATTTCGCACGCCTGTTTTGCCGACTCAGCTTGGTCTTGCACTTGGCTGTCCCAGGGCCTTAGGCTCTCAGAGCGCGACTTGTAACATAGTTTCATCTTGGCACTATAACGGGGTTTCCATGGACGGAGATGTGAAGATGATTGAAGCTGTGCGAGGAAGATATGATGTGCGTGTGTGCGAGAGGGCATATGCCAGCCTACGCTTCCGTGATTGGGAAGGGGGTCGATGGGCATTGTCGCTGATGCGAAAGGAGGGTTGATCTGCATTTTCCGGCGGTCTTTTCTTCATTCAAGGGCGTCTCCTAAGCCTTCTGTATACTAATATCTGTCTACCTTACCTTACCTACCTACTCTCTGCTGCTGGCGACGTGCTTCCCTAAGCATGTTTATTGCCCAGTGCTTCTAGGGGCCCCGTTTTTTAAAAAGGGTTCCTTAGTATCAGCTGCATCATCATCTCGATAGCATGAAAATCGAGCACGAAATTCTTTGAAATCAATCTTAGAGTTCACTTGGTTCCTTGTGCTTGTCTGCGGGCCCGCCTAGGAGTAACTATGGACGACTTGCCCACTGGTCTGTCTGTCTGCCTGCTCCTCTTCTCGTGTGCGTGAGTGACCATGTCTGAGCGGACGACCCAACGGCGTGGAACGGGCGCACGCCACCTGATCCAGAATGGGCAATTCAAAAAAGTCTAATTGCCAAGCCGGCACCATGTCGTAGTCATGTCTATCACCGATCAGAGAGGCGCGGATCTGGACGAGGAATGCCGCGCCGGTGCTGGGGCGGGCCAGGAATGTAAGCTTATAAGTGCAGTCGTCTGTCTGT